CCCCCCGTCCGGAGGGGGGGGCGTGGGTCCAGGAGGACCCCCAAATTATGCACTGGGTCTGTCTGGGGCAGTGCTACCCCATCCAGCACCAACGATGACAATGTCCCGGATACAGAGGAGCCATTAACCTACAGCCACTCCATCTTACCAGGGTTCAGCTGGAGCTTGTTGTTCCCCATCCACACCCTCACAGCCTCCAGGCGCCGTGAGAGGGCAGTCATGGCATCACTTACCTCACCAGGGATGGAGATATATAATTATCATCAGCATACTGATGATACCTCATCCCATGATGACGGATGATCTCACCCAGCAGTTTCACGTAGATGTTGAAAAGGAGCGGAGAGAGAACCGAACCCTGCAGCACCCCACAGAGGAGGGGCCAAGGATGGGACCTCTCGCTCCCTATCACCACCGACTGGGACCGGCCCCGAAGAAAGGAGGTGAACCAGCACAGAACTGTGCCGTCCACCCCCAAATCCCTGAGCCATCCCAATAGGATACCATGGTCGACGGTATCGAAAGCCGCTAAGAGTATTTAGGTACCTAAGAGGAATGAGGTATTACATGATGACTGAAGTCCCACTAGTTTCTATGGTATTTTCATGTACATCTTTGCCTCCCCAAGGAGTAGAATATTACAGTTCTTAAGTAAATTTTATACCCAAACAGAATAAATTGTATACAGTCCAGGCTGCAGTCAAGTGATCAACCATTGTATCAAACTATAAACTATATCTGCTCTTTCAGTGTACTGCCGAGTCTTATATATTATTGAATGCTAGGCATCCCTGATTTATAATAATAAGTATTGATATTCTTGTGCAATGATAAATCTTATCTTAGAAACAGTTTGAAACTGGGTTTTTTGGAATTACTAGTTTACTCCATAAAAATTACATATAGTTTTGAACACTGGATATAGCAAAAATCATTTCCTCTTCCTCTTAGTATTGATAGTTGAATTCATGTCTAAATTCTTTCTCTGTGAGACGGATAAGGAGAAAACTGACATGCTATAGTTGTAGGTAAAGTCTTGAAAAGTTGGTGATAACTCTCCTTATAATTAATGCTGTTGTTGTTCTAAGCAGGACCAGTCTCCCTGGCCAGACTTAACCAAATTGTGGTGTTGTCTGGCTAGGTGCTATAAATGTTGCTGTGTGAAGTAGCAGGGAGTCTTCAGAG